TCACGACTGGTAACTAATTTACTTTAAAATGCTAAAAAGTTAAAATATTCAAATTCGGTGTAAATACATTTGTGATCTAAAAAGGCCCTATCTGGTCCCATCTCACTTTGATTACCCTGTCAAACAAGTCAGCCTTCGCCCCTGTTTACAGATGAGACAATATCGCTTTTAAAAGCAAGTCCGTCATATTTTGTTTCTAATTGCGATATTATATTTATTGATAGCATATTTTGAGAATTTTTAGTGCCAAAAAAGTGTTCACTATAAAATAAATTTCTAATTAACTAGTTTTACGACCAAAAAGTGTCATTGGTGAGCTGTGACGTAGACGCAAAGTGTGTGTGTGTGTGTGTGAAGCGGGGAGTGCTGTGAACGTGAACAATTCCATTTTCCGCGTGTAGCATTTTATACAAATTTATGAAGAAAAGTTTTTTAATCTAGCCTCAATTATTGTGGGAAAATAGGACTAAGTTAAAACAAATTGATATAAACTTGTGTGCAAAGTATGGGTGACAATGATTTACTCGTTAAAAAGATATTTGATGATAGGTTGCGCCACGAATTTCTGACCGCATTATAAAAGCGATATGCCCAAGCTCTATTTCTTTTAATCTGTAGAATCCGTAGACTCCGATTTTTAAAAAATACTTTTGAAGGAAGTTTCTAAAATGCAGTGTAAAGACAGTAAAGAGATTTTTTAAAAAATATCCACACGTTAAGACAAACTGGAAAGTCATTTTGCAAAAGTTGGACAATCTGATCTATGTTCTATAGTTAAAGAGTTAAGGAGATATTTGACAATAAGTTTTGTAACGACTTTTTGACCCCACTACATATAAATATTAGCCACAGCCAACGAAGTAAATCTATTTGCATTATCTCAATTAAGCGTCCTGACATTTCTCTCTCTCTCTCTCTCTCTCTCTCGCTGATGTTTTGATTCGTATCGACCCAATCAAATATAAGAATGCCTGATTTCAAAACCCCAAAGGCAGTTCTATTCTGAACTGTCCTCAAGGAAGCGTAAGCCCCCCCCCCCCAAAAAAAAGAACACTACAAACAAAGACATACTGAAAGTGTCTCTAAAAGACTTCAACCTAGATCTAAACTCTTCGACATGGAAAAGTTTAGCTCTTGGGTAGACCAAGCTGGAGAGCAGCTCCTGTCATAGTGACAATTGTAGCCTAACCATATTATGAGGTCTCATGAATATATAATTTAAAAATGTTGAAACAAACAGGCAAGCTGCACACATCCACAATTTTAAGAGGAGTTTTGGAATGCTTAAAATGTGACAAACTTTTGCCAGAATTGATATCATTGGCCGTAGTACGTAAAGAAGCCATGAGCCATCTTAAAATTATAACCTGTTTTCATTTTCTCCCCTGCGGATGCAATGGTCTTTATCAGAAATTGACGAACGAACTATAGTACCCGTGCATATTATTATTATTATTATTAT